AAGAATAAAACCCTGATGAACAACTTTCTTGATTTTGTTGTTGTCGTGTACCACTGTGTCAGAACCGACCCATAGCTGATCCTCCAGTGAGTTTTCAGAGACAGTTAATTGCACAGGAGTGACTGACCATCTTTTTGCTGCAAAGCAATTGGTAGATTTTAACTATATGCCTTTGGGTTGGCAATACAACTCGTACCACTAACCCACAGTACTTCCATGGATAAACCGGTATCCCCTTGCTCTGTTCTTGGTCTACATAGAGGTTCTGTATGAATACAGTGAATAGAGAAACAGAGTGATCTATTTCCCATTCTTTGCAAAGCTATCTATAATTTTTGATCCACACTGTTGAAGGTCTTTGCATACTCAACAAAACCCACGCAAGCATCATTTTGGTATTCTCTCTTTTTAGCCAAGACCCATCTGACATCACTAATAATATCCCTTATTCTAAGTCTTCTTCAGAGTCCAGCTTGAATTTCTGGCAGTTCCCTCTTGATGGAAGGTGGCTACTGTTGCTGATTTACCTGAACAAAGTTTTATTTTAATGTGATCCTAATTAAATTGCCTGATAATGTCTCTATTCTATTGGATCAACTTTCTATGGAATGGCCAAAAAGATAGATCACTTCCAGGCAGTCGGCCAAGTGGCTGCCTTCTGAGTTTCTTGGCGTAGATAGGTGAGCACCTCCAGCACTGCATTCATTTATTGAAGCAGCTCCATGGTATCTCATCAGTATGTGGAGTCTTGTTTTTAGCTCATGCCTTCAGTACAACTTAAGACTTCTCTTAACACCACTGCTTGATTATATGCTACCTCTTGAAATGACTGAATGTTGACCAATTCTTTTTTGGTATCATAACTCTGTGCCTTCCTTCAATCTTCTTTCATTGATTCCTGCATTGCTCGGTATTTTACCTATTGCTGTTGTTATGTGCTGTCAGGTCAGAACCAACCCATAGCTGACCCTCTAGTGGGATTTCAAAGGCAGTAAATTGCACAGGGAGACTGCCCATCCTTCTCCCATGGAGCAGCTGGTGGATTCCAACCACGTGTCTTCAGGGTTACAGCACAGTTTCTTGACCACCAGGCCACCAGCGTTCTTCATTATTGCTACTCAAGTCTTGCATTTTCTTCTTCCATTCTTTTAACTCAACAAACGCAGAGCACATTTGCCCCTTTTGATTTTTTAACTCCAGATCTCTGCACATTTCAACACTCAGTCTTCTCTTGCTATCCTTTGAATTCTTCTATGAAGCTCTTTTACTTTTGTCATTTTTTTTCTTTTTTCAATCCACTTTAGCTAGTCTACATTCAAGAGCAAGTGCTAGAGTCTCTCTTCTGACATCCATTTTGGTTTTTGTTTTTGTTTTTACTCTTAAATGACCTTTTGCTCCATTCATGTATGGTGCTACCCCATAACTCATCTGTTCTCTAATCAGTAGTATTAAATACATTACTGTTGTGGAGGGAGTCTCTAGATTTAGGTGGGATATACATAAGGCTATACACTGCCTCTCATGAGTTTGTTTTACTTTTCTTCAACTTGAATTTATATATCAGTAATTGATGGTCTTTTCCACAGTCAGTCCTTGGTCTTTTGATGATTGAGGATATTGATTTCATTTTTTTAACTTTAAAAAAAAATACTGTTTTATTTACAAAGTTCATATACATTGTTTTTTCCACACCAGATCTTTTCATTTCCTTCACTCATTCCCCCACTCATCAAATTGTATGACCATATGATTAATCACTCTCCACACCCCCCCATCCTCACCCCTCTGCTCCACGCTTCTCCTCCCTTGGATTCTTTGGTAATGATCTTATACAGTATTTGTCCTTATAGAACTGAGTTATTTTATGACTTCCAAGTTTCCTAGAGTCATAAAATATGTGTATTCCGAATTCTGACTATTAATGAATATTTGCAGTTGTTTCTTCTAAAGTTTGAGTCATACCGTATTGATAAATGAAGGTCCCTAAATTAAGTTTTACTCCATCCTCATCCTACGGCTGTACTCTGACGAGGCAGCACTTCCCCACCTGCATTGTGAATGCTTTCTAGCCTGAAGGGCTCCCCTATTTTGGGATCATATCAGGCAATGTTCCATTGCTATTTATGAGTTTCACCGGCCTTTTTTTTTTTCAGAAGCCAACTGCCATATTCTCCTTATTAGTCTGTAAAGTCGGATGAAAACCTGTCCACCACCAGGTGACCCTGTTGTTATAATACCACTGCATGTTTCTCAGCGTCACACAACACGTAAACTATCGCAGGACCCAAACTCACGGGTCCATGATGGATAACACTGCAAAGATGTCAATTCTCTCCAACTTGATCTTTAGATTTTATGAAAAACTAATCAAAACTCCAATAAAAAAAAATGTTTCAGGACCTCAATAAGCTGATCCTAAAAGTAGTATCCAAGAACAAAGAGCAAGTAATGGGTTTGACATTCCTGAAGAAGTTACTTAATTGTTTACATAAAGATAATGAGTCTTGGTGACACAGCTGTTAAAGCACTCAACTGTCAACTGAAAAGTCAGTGGTTTGAATGTGCCACCTGCTTCAGCAGAAAAAGATGTGGCAGTCTGCTTCCCTCAAGAGCTGAAGTCCTGTGAACTCGGTGGGGCAGGTCTACAATGTTCTATAAGGTTGTTATCAAGTGGGAATCAACTTACGGCAATGGGTTAACTAAGTGACTGCAGTACTGTCCTAAGGAGAGAAAATGTGCCCACCCGATCAGAACAGAGAGCTCAGAAACCAAATCATGCATACTTGGAGACTTCATTTACGAAAGCAGAGAAATTATGAAATCATCCAATATGTAGTTTTTAGCCAAGTTGTCATTAGAATGTTGTGAAAGAGACTACTGTATGTGTGTATACATATATCTTTGATAGTCTATATCAGACCACACAAAAAACTACTTTAGATAAATCAAAGAGAGGAATATCTATATCTGTAAAACTTGAAAAATAGAGAAAATTACTAGAACACTGTAGAAAGCAAGGATTTTGAAAATCCAAACCCAAATGAATAACCACCACCAATCATAAGCAGTAATCACAGGTGGGAAAAGAACACATTTAACAAAAATATTTACAAGCAATAGATAAAATGTAAGAAGGAAGACAAAGATTTAAAAGTGTATTTTTCCAACAAACAATGAGAAACAGACCAATAATAAAAAAACAAAACAAAAACAAAGGAAAACTAACACACAAAAAAACAGTAACAACAAAAACTGTACAGGAAAGTAAATTTCGTTCTAAAGGTAACAGGTGGCATGAATTGGAGCAATTCAAAGTAGTATAAAATAAAGAAGCTTTTATTTCACATGTATAAAAAAAGTAATAATATAATGATAAAAAAACCAAGGATGGGCTGGTATACAATGTTATACATGGGGTTAATTCTTTATACTAGAGAAAAATAATATAGTAATGTCCCAAAATACTAAATCAAGAGACGATGCCATAAGTATAATATTAGAGATATAATCTAAAACCTAGAAAAACTAGTACAAAGTATGGAAGGATGACACATACATCATTATAAGATCTTCCATATTATTCTATTTTTTATATATGTGCATGTATTATTTTACTAGAATGTTAAAAAAAATTGGATTAAAGATCAGGAGTTCATCTAGTCAAACCACATACCATTAGGTAAGTAAGGAAAATAGATGTTTACTCCAATAGAAAAACTTCTAAACCCATTGTTGTTGTTATGTGTTGTAGCACCACCTGTGACTCATAGTGATCCTATGTACAAGAGCTCTGATCTCTGCTATCTCTAGAGCCAACTTCATTATAAAGATGAGTAATCAAAACAATGATCAACTTCACCCAGCAAAGCAAATATAATCATTAATTCGGACTGAAGAAACCATTTGGAGATGTTGTTTCTTTTTCTCCTCAGCTTTCCCTTTGACCGTGCCTCTATTTCTTTGACCTTTTTGTCTACCTACCTCTGTTGTTATCAGTTGCCATCGAGTAGGAACTAACCCTCCAGCAGGTTTTCAGAGACTGTAAATCACATGAGAGGAATTTCTCATCTATCTCTCAGGGAGCAGTTAGTAGATTCAAACTGTGTACCTCAGGATGGTTCTTTTCTAGCTAAAAAGCATGGATATTCAATTAAAAATATATAAAATACTATTTTTATTCTTTTCTATTCTTAATTTATCTCAATACTAAAAGAGCAAATTAAGTTGATCTTCACTGTTATTCTACTTTTTCTTTTTTAAATTTCTATAGACATTACTGCTGTAGGGACTAAATTGCTTCTCCACCGATTCAAGGGAGCTCTGATGATACCTTAGTGGTAAAGAACTGTGCTGCCAATCCAAAGATACACGGTTCAAATCCACCAGCTGCTCCACAGGCAAAAGATGGGCAATCTCCTCCCTTGCAATTTACAGTCTCTGAAAACCCACTGGAGGGTCAGCTATGGGTCAGTTCCAACTCAACAGTACACAGTAACAACAACATCCATAAACAAAAGGCAATCCAGCTAAAACCGGTAAAATATTCATTCTTCAATGAATTACTGCTGTTAACGTTACTGTCCAGTACTGACCTGTAGCGGGCCCTCCAGTGAGTTTCCAGAGGCAGTTAATCCCACAGAAGGAGACTGCCCGTCCTTCTCTAGCAGAGCAGCTGATAGATTTGAATCATTTGCCTTCTGGATTGCAGAGCAGCTTCTTACCACTAGGCCACGACAGCTGTTGTTATTGATTAACTGCTAAATTACCTGGCCCTCAGGACTTAGAAGCTAGCTTTTCTCATATATATTTATGTGTCAAAATTGACCTGATAGTAATAAGTGTTTTGTTTTTCAGAGCTAAAAGCTTGAAGAAAAACTTATCCAGAATCAAGAAAAACCAGAAGGTTTAATGCTCATATTAGGTAGGTAGGATTTGATCCAATAAAGAAGACTTGGGAAGGGCTCCGTTTCAGAATAATCTACATCCAAGTGTATACTTACACTATGTGCGCAAGGTCAAGTGGTTTCTCTGGTTGCTCAGGAAAAACAGGATGTGGGGGTTCTCTGGTGGGTACGCACCCCAAGGATTTACTAATTGCATGGCTCAGCTTCTTTGCAGGCGATTTCTGTATCAAAGTAAAAAAAAATAATCATTAAGGAATTAAATCTTCAAAACAACAACAACAAAACTACTTCAAAAGAACTTGGTATGGAGGGCTACACCAAAGTATCATTTCAGATCCAAATCAGGCTTAATCACAGTCAACATTATTTAGCACTGCAGGAGGGAATCTGCAGTGGTTCCAAGGTCACCCGTGGTCCCTTCATTTCAGTTGATCCTTCTTCATTTCTGTGAAGTCACTACACCAAGTTAATACTAATTTTCTATATGAACATCTCCACAGATACTTTGCACCCTTTCTTTCTTGATGCTTTGATCAATTTTGGTGAAAAATTCCCCAATCAGAGCCAGGACATTTTTTGAAGTTACAACAAGAAAAGACTAATTCTGAAAGTGTACATTTTTTGTTACGTTAGCAAGTTAGTTGACCACACTACATACCAATTCATCCCAAAGTTAATATTAAACCACTTAGCATTAAGGGCCTGGGTATGTGTACATACTCAGAAATTAATACATTCATATCCACAGTTAGGCACAAAAGATCTATAAATCGTCATATACTGAAGGAACAAAAATAAGATGGCATGCCACTACATTTCTTTGGTACATAAAGCTTACTAAATCCAAAGACTATGAAGTCTAAAATTTAATAGTAAATGCACACAAAAGTAAACAATACATCACAATTAACTCAAGTAATACCTTTACTTCTAAAACCTGTATTTCATGATGGTCCTTTATATACAGATTTTATTATTCACTCAATTTCTTTTTTAAAAAATTGCTGTCTGAGACTCTTGGCAGGATATTAACTGAGGGGAAAAAGTTTAAGTATTGCATCCTACAGTCTCTGCAGTATATTACCAAAAGTATTACTTTAATTGGAAAAGAGATCTTGTATGCAGCTGTCTGCTTCACCAGCACATCTCCACTTAACTTTTACACGCTGCTTGATGGGGGATCATAAACACAAAATAAACAAAAACCTGTTTGCCTTTAAGATTTGATTGGCTCGGTTAACTAATATCTTCTTGATGATAAAGACTGAATATTACTGATTTCTTCAAGAACTTCAGATATTAGCATAGAATATTGTCACTATCATTATCCTCTTCAAAACATTATTTTATGGAAAAATTCTAGGTGCAACCTGATTTCCTGCAAATCACAGAAAAATAAAGCAGACAGGCAGAATTTGCCCCCTACCTGCTGTCCTTTCTTCTTTTGCTGAACAACTGGCTGTAATTAAACTCTACGGCACCCTACCCCACCAAATCTATCTTCCCAACTGTTCCCAGAGATTGCACCACACTTCTGTTCAAAATCTTTCAGAGGCTGATCATTGCTGAAAGATTAACACCTTGATAAATGCCTTCATATTCCACACAAAAACCTCCCACCTCTCACTTGCATTAAAGCACTCATAGTTGCCCGAATAAACTATACTCTTTCGGATCTCTGTATCCTGGTATTTGCCTTTGCTATCGATCTGGAGACAACTCATAGCTGACCCTTTAGTGGTTGTTAGGAGGCTGTGAATCATACAGGAGGCAGATGCGCATCTTTCTCCCATGGAGTTGGAGGCTTTGAACAGTGAAAGGCGCAGTCAGGACCTGCTGGTCAGCAGCACAGCTCCCGTGGACCACACCACTACAGCACTTAGAATCCTTTCTACATTATGTATTACAGATAACTCCTACTTTGAGGCTTGTTTTCATACTCTCTAATAAACAACCATCTTTAAATACAACAGTAGTCCTAGTTTATGAATGTTTTCTTTTATGTTATACTTCAAGTATTTCCCGTACTGAGGCCAAAAAGATATTCCGCTGTAACGTTTCATAGTTTTGCATTTCACATTTCAGCCTGAACTTACTTGGACCTGATATTTTGGCTATGTAATGAGGAAAGCATACAATTTCCTCTTGTGTTGTTAACCCATTAGCTCAGAGCCATTTAATAAAAAACTCATGCTTTTTTCCTAGAGATCTACATTGACTGCTATGATGGAGTGAACAGCTTCCCCTAAATGTTAGGTTCAAGTCCTAACGTCCAGGACCTATGACAGTATGTGGAAACAGGGTCTGTGAAGATGTTAACTCTGCTGGAGATCTTGGGCTTAGATCATCCTGAACTGGGAGACTTAGTGAACTGGGTTAAATCCAATGACTGGTGTCCTCTTTAGAGGAAAAATGGAAATTTCACTCACAGGATCAGAGGAAGGGTCATATGAAGACAAACATAGAGATTGCAGGGCAGCCATCAGATGCTAGGAGACAGGAAGAGAGCAGACGATCATGCAGCACTTCCAGAAGGAGGCAACCACATCAGCACCTGCATTTCAGACCTCAGGCCTCCGGAACTCCAAGAGAATAAATTTCTGTTGTTTTAAGCCACCATGTTTACAAATGAGAACCAAGCACCTACAGTTTTCACTTTTTTATACTGTCCTGATTAAGGTTTTGGTACAAGGTTATTTCAGTCTCCCAAATGAAACAGAGAATAATTTATTTTCTTTTTTGCTCCTAGACATTGGTAATGCTGACATTATTCTTCCTTTAAATGTTTATTGACATTCAAGTAAAGCCATTCATGCCGGGCTGTTTCCTTTATGCAGAAACTTAGCACTACCAATTCAATTTAATGATCCTACTACGACTCGATGGTACTCAACAACAATAACTAATTAAATTAAATGATCCTTCTAGTATTATCTCTGAGGGTCAGAGAAAGAGAGAAGACCCCCCAACAAGAGGAATTGACACAGTGACTGCAGTAATGGGCTCCAGTATATCAGAGATCATGAAAAAGGCTCAGCTATGTTGTCCACAGGTGACTAAGGGCAACTCAATGGCACCGAAAAACAACACTATTCTGTAGGTTTTTCTATTCCATCCTAATATTACAGTCTAAAATCAGAGGCACTTGGTTTGTGCATGGTAGGGCGGTGAAAAAAGACAGTCTTAATTCTGCGTTTAAGTCTTTAAAGGAATTTGACTACATCCGTTGAAAGACATTCTGGAGAAACTCAGTTGTTGTTGTTGTGTTGTTGTTAAGTGCCATCGAGTCGCAGGCGACTTACAGCGACCCTATGAAGGAGAGTCCTCAACGCTTGGGTGTCTTTCATCCTCTCTCCAGGTTCATAGGGTTTCTGGAGGAGGCAAGCTATTACGAAAGTGGATGCAACTCCTCCTTCCAAGCTTGTTTTAATTGGGGAGCTCCACCCCACTCTCTGTCCGCATTGGGTAACCAGCCATTAACGCATTTGACACATCAGTACCAGAAATCAAAACAAGACCAGGGGCTGAGAGTGGAACAGACCATGAACTACTCATATATAAGTCCAAATTAAACTTGAAGAAAATGAAAACAAGTCTATGAGAACTAAAATATGACCCTGAGTGTATCCCAAAACAACTGCAAAACCATCTTAAGAACAAATTTGATGCATTGAACACTAACGACCAAAGACCAGACCAGCTGTGAAGGACATTATCTAGGAAGAAAGCAAAAGATCATTACAAAGACCAGGGAGAAAGAAATGATGCCCGAGGAGTCTCTGAAACTTGCAGTAGATCAAAAAGAAGCCAAGATGAGGGGAAGAAATGGTGAGGTAAGAAAGCCGATTAATATCACATGTCAGTAAAATCTTGCTGAAGATCATTAAAAAACAGAACACTGTATCAACAGAAAGCTGCCAGAAATTCACACTGGATTCAGAAAAGGCCATGGCACAAGAGATATCACTGCATATGTCTGACGGATTTTGACTGAAAGCAGAGAATACCAGAAAGGTGCTTACTTGTGTTTTATTGGTTATCCTAAGGCATTTGACTGTATGGATCATAACAAATTATGGCTAACATTGAGAAGAATGAGAATTACAGAACACTTAATTGTGCTTACGTGAAACGTCTACATAGACCAAGAAGCAGAAAACAAACAAACAAACAAAAAAAGGAACACTGCATGGTTTAAAACAAAGAAAGTTGTGCATTAGGGTTGCATCCTTTCTCCATATCTGTTTCATCTGTATGTGAGCAAATAATTTTAGAAGCTGGACTATATGAAGAAAAATGTGACATTAGGATTAGAAGAAAACTCACTGACAACCTGCATTATGCAAATGACATAATCTGGCTTAGAAAAAGTAAAGAAGACCTGAAGCACTTACTACAGAAGATCAAAGACTACAGCCTTCAAAATGGATTGCAATTTAATATCAAGAAAACAAAAATCCTCACTAACAGGCACTATCATGACAGATGAATATTGAAGCTGTCAACAATTTCATTTTACTTGGATCCACAATGAACACCCTTGGTAACCACAGCCAAGAAACCAAAAGATGTGCTGCACTGGAAAAATCTGCTGGTAAGGACCTATTCAAAGTTTCTAAAGAGCAAGGATATCAGTTTAAAGGCTAAGGTGTGCCTGATCCAAGTCTCAGTATCTTCAATTACTTACTATTCATCTGAATGTTGGACAATGAATGAGAAAGACCAAAGTAAAACAGATGTTTTAAAACTATAGTGCTGGAGAAGATTATTTCATATACCATGGCCTTTCAAAAGACCAAGCAAACAAGTCTTACAGGAAGTACAATCAGAGTGTTCTTTAGAGGCAAGGATGGTGAAACTTCGTCTCACTTATTTTGGGCATGTTTTCAGTAGGGCTAGTCCTTAGAGAGAGGCATCATCCTGGGAAAGGAAGAGGCCAGTGAGAGAGAGGAAGACTTCAGTGAGATGGCCTGGCACAGTGATTACTACCACAAGAGACTGAAGCATGACAGAGATTGTGAGGATGGTGCAGAACAGAACAAGGTGCTCTGTTTACAGGGTCCTTATGAGCTGTAGTCAACTTGATGTCACCTAACAACAACCAACCAACACTTTGTTGACTCTGTCTTTACCAACTGTCTAATTCTCTTTTATGCTTGTCCTTTCTTACTTTTTAGGACACCCTCCTCCATGTTATGTTTTCCAGTTTTGCAATTATGAT